AGCATACATTACATTGAGTTAATTGTTTGTCTTCAGAATAGCGGTTATCTCTCCATTGGCTTCACTTCACCTACATATCTGAAAGAGCAAATGAGAAGTCCCGAATCAGTCTGCAGCCCCGATGGACAAAGACTAGGAGAAAGAGAGTAGATCATGTGAGAAAGACACAAGAGGCGGTTCACACAGGGGTGTGAATGTGTATTCTAGGTGTGGGAAAGTGTATGAGCCCCGAGGAGCCAGTCTCTGCGTTTCACTGTCATCTATAACCCCTGTGGCTAAACGTTCCTCAGCATAAGGAAACAAACAGCTCGTCTTCACCTGTCTTCTCAATATTCATATCTTCATGATGTTGCTGATCAATGCATGACCTCCATCTTCAGAATTTAAGTGGAACTCCATATCCATGACTGTGTTCTGGTTTTGAAGATGTTGAACCCATATTATGGGTTTTACCAGATTGTTCCTTTGGTGACTTTCTGAGAAAGGCCGAGTTGAGTCTTTAGTAGACAAACTCCAGTAATCCTAATGGACGTAGAAGATGTAATGTACCCAGTAGTCACGTTTCTACCACAATCTTCTCTTTCCAAGGTCCTCCTGTGCTGGGGCAGCACAATAACGTGTGCTTCTATAGGGAGAGAATGGCTCCCGGCTCATCCAAGTTACTGGAAGATGAGGCGGCAATTATTAGGACTTTACTTTGGTGTCGGGAAGTGATGATGATGACAGGAGAATCTTCTGCTTTCTTACTGGAACTGTCCTGTGACTCACCACACACATACATACTATGAATGGCCCAGAGCTACACAGGTATCCATCCACCCCTAAAGATCACGTAAGCCCACGCAGCCCAGGACACAGTCATTCTATGTAAAAGGAATTCACATAAAGAAACACAGTGTTCTGCGGAATGATAATGAATACTTCTAATTGGTGTATCCATTCTATGAGAACTCCTAGATAAGAAGAGGGGTGGGAGACATCTGCCAGCCAGCAATTCCCTACAATTTGCATTGTGCGTAAGGTTAACACACTCAATACTCCCTAAAGTGGACCAAACATAAAAAAAAAATATAATAGTAAGAGCAAAGACACCAAATAGGATCACTTTCACTGTGTCAACCCAGAAGACTACAGAACTATGTGTATGTGTGTTTGCATGTGAGCGCCAGGGCCACCCATATATTATGAAGAGAAGATAAAGCATGCAGATAAAGTCCAATTGCTCTTAAAGGAGACCTATGGGGGTCAGGGCTTTTCCCCATAGTTCTCCTAAGGGTCAAGGGAGGACACAAACTAGCGTCCTCCCGTCACCCAAAGCTCAGTATATAGAGAGCTACAGCTCGTGGTATACTGAGACGCCGCAGCCGGGACGGATCCCGACACTACTGTCTGGATCCACCCAGCTGTGTGAGTGACAGCTGGCTCTGCCTATCTAGAGGCAGAGCCAGCTGTACCCGCCCCCCGCCTGTCCCTTCAGCCAGTCAGCGCTGGAGGATCGGACGGGGGGAATCCCTGCAGGGAGCCGTGAGTGACAGTCACGGCTCTCTGCAGGTCTGCAGGGACATGATCGAGAAGTGAGCGAGCGACGCAATGTGTTCGCTCACTTCCCGATCTATTGATCTATAAACTGACGTGTGGCAGTTTCATCGTCGCACGTCGGCTCGAACTATGGGGCTGAGTGATTTTCACCCGCCTCATAGTGCTCCTTTAAATTAGACCATCTGTGGAGTGCTCCATAAACCTGTATGCAGGGGTTGGCTGGCAATACAAGTTTATAACAATGGGGGGCAGACAGCAGAGCACTGGGGATTCCACCAGTAGTCCAGCGGCACCCGTGGCCACCTACAGATAGGAGATCACATGCTAGTCCTGGAGTTTGCCATCTCCTGCCTGCGGGTTACTTAAGAAACAGTACGATATGTTTTCTCTCTACAGGAAGTTTAGAGCTCTCATCCAGCGGTCCTCATTACGCTGACCCCCTCCCGCTTCCAGGGCAGCCATTTATCAAACCACTACATTGCCGGCGAGGAATGTATAGCTAGGGAATGGCTAGTTAAGGCTCGTTTCTATTAATAGCTGCATCATGACGTCTCTAGAACCTCCACCACAAACCGTACACAACGACACGGCAATAGAGAGATCCAGAATGAGGCCCGGCGATGACAAGAACCAGATTACATTCCCATGTCGCTATAATGAGAAGTATTAATTAACCAGCATTGTAGGGAGTGATAAGCAAAACTGGATAGTTGTATTCTGACATAATCACCAGGAAACTGGATGTGGGAATGGCAATGTTGGGGGAGAATGAGGATTACATTAGTATAGGTTTGCTTAGGTTTTTTCTAGGGATGCACCTATACCGATACTAGTATCGGTGCCGATACAGAGTATTTGGGCGAGTACTCGTACCTGCCCAAATGCTCCGATGCCTAGCCCGATACTTTCTGTATCAGCAAGTCGGGCAGCTCGTTATTACACGCTGCCCGTCTTCCTGATTGGCCAGGAAGCCGGCTCCATGCTCCCTCGTCACTTGTACCGAGAGAGCATGGAGCCCACTTCCCGACCAATCCGGAAGCCGGCCAGCGTGTAATGATGCACTGCAAGGCTTACTGATTGGTCGGGAAGCTGGCCAATCAGGAAGCCAGGCGCCGTGTAATGACGCAGCGCCCGGCTTTCTGATTGGCCGGGAAGCTGGCTTCATGCTCCCTCTCATGACGAGGGAGCACGGTGCCGGCCTCCCGGCCAATCAGGAAGCAGGGTGCCGCGTCATTACATGGCGCCCAGCTTCCATGATTGGCCAGCAAGCCGGCTCCATGCTTTCTCATCAGACAGTGATGAGAAGCATGGGACGGCTTCCTTGTTAATCAGGAAGCCAGGTGGCGAGTCATCACACGCCGCCTGGCTTCCTGAATGGGACTTCGGTATTTGGTATCGGCGAGTACCGGAAAAAAAATATCAGTACTAGTTACCAAAATACTGGTATCGGTGCATCCCTAGTTATTCCTCATATTTACATTGTAATTGAGTCAGATGACTTTATCGGCTTTTATTATGTTTACCTGAAAATGATTTTTGATGCGACTTTCACATTTTTACATGTTTGTTCACTTTTTTCTATAACTGTTTTACAAATGTCCTTCATTCTTCTTGTAGCAGTTATCAGCATATTGCTGAATGACTGTTCAGATAAATCTAGTTAGGCCTAGTCACTACTCTCCATACCAATACCCCCTGTGTTATGTTGTACACATTCAGATCTAACTACCCTATATGGACCAAAAGTATGTGGACCCCCCTCCATATTATTGAGTTTAGATTCTCCCAGTGAAGGTTCTGCTAATACTACATCATACAAAGACATTGTAGACAATGGTCAATTTCCAACTTTGTGGTAACAGTTTAGTGAAGACCCTTTTCTGTTCCACCATGACTGTCCCGTATTTACAAAGCCAGCTCCACAAAGACACGGTAGACTGTTTTGTTGTGGAGGAACGTGTGTCCTGCCAGAACCCTGACCTCAACCCTACTGAACACCAATGGCATGAATGGGAACCAGATTGCATTCTAGGTCTTCTCGTCCAACACAGTTTGACCAGTCTGATGTGGTGTTACTCAACTGTCCTGCACAGAGCCCTGCCCTCAACCCTACTGAACACCTATGGGATGAATTGGAGCGCCAGTTGCGAGCCCGGCCTTCTCCTCCAACATGGTTTGACCAGTTTGGTGTGGAGGAACCTTAGTGTCCCGACCTCAACCCTACTGCAATGGAACACTGATTGTGAGCCAGGTCTTCTCATCCAACATCAGTACCTGACCTCACAAATAGGCACAAATTCCAACACATAGCCCCCAAAATTTTGAAAGCCTGCCCAGAAGTTATAACTGCAAAGGGGGCCAGCTTCATATCGATGCCCATGGTCTTGGAATGGGATGGTCATGTGCCCCCAAACCTTTAGCTATATAGTGCACCAGTCAATGTGACTGAAAAAGGAACACTAACCTAATCTGGACACGCCTGGTTCCAGGCCCAACCTAAGATAATGCTGGCCACTGGCACTACAAGGAGTTCTGATCATGCAAACTGACTGCCAAACCATTTTGAAAGATGGATACCTGGCTGTGTCTGGTCACGGGTTGGTGGCTTTGCTGTCTTTTTGTTTTTATCTGCCACTGATATTACATGATTTCATCATTCCACAAAAACACTTTCCAATTCTGAAGAATGTCCTTCTCTGCGAGTGACACAACACAAGTCGCAGAGGCCCCAATCTCTATAGATAGCAACTGAAGGTTAGCACTGAGCTACACAAACACGGGCAGTGGGGGCCGGTCACGGAGCTCGGGGTGTAAGGGGTTAATGCCTGCAAATATTTTCTTTCTAAGGAACAAATGTCGCCATTCTCAGCTCATCGCCAGAGATCAAAAATAGACCCAGAACGTGAAATATTGCTGACTGCCTCTCCCATGGACGCAGCAAGGGACCCTACGAGACTTCTTTACTTGGCCTAAAACTAAAGTGTATCAAAAGCAGAAACCTTTTTTTAGATAGAGTAGGGAATAGTTAGAATGTGTTTGTTTATATTACGGTCTGTGTCCCATTGAGGAGATTTCCCCTTATTTCCTGCCCTGGCTAGACAACAGGAAGTGAGAGGAAATTTCTCTAAGTGAGGGGAAAACCAACAAGGTTCCAGGTCATGATAGGTTGTCACAGGCACAGGAAGTAAAGGGAAATTCAACCAGTTGGGACACAGACAGCAGTAAAAACACAACAGGGGTCCCAACCCTTCTCTACTCCAAAAAAAAAAGAGATCTAGATTCACTGAACACATATATAAAGTCACCTATTCCATCAAAAGACTTGAACATGTAAAGACACCTGTCCTTATACTAAGTAGAAATATGCCAGATGAACATTAAAATCAGGCTTGCAGCAAGGGTGCCTGCTGTATAAATTAATGGACAGGATAGAAGGGTTGACTGTTTATACGATTGCTGACCTGTCGGCGTCCCCCTGTCCCGTGGACGCATTCCGTTGAAGCGTTTCCCGCACAGCCGCCATTCCGTCAGGGAGTCGGTTCAGTCTTCGGGTGTACAGGCCCAGCCCGCCATCGGTCATGTAGCTGATAAGAGATAGCAAAGAATAATCAGACACCTTACACTACATCATGTCTACTAAATGTGCATTAACCTTGCTCAGCGCCTGTGCAATGGTGGCTTCCGTATGGCTACTCAGCCAACACAAATGCATAGAAATTGTGGAGATCTAAAATCAAGCACACAGTCATGCAATATAGAATGTATATAAACGCAGTTGTCTTCTGGCAGTCATTGCGTAGATCAGGCACGTGATGTGCAATCAGTGTCATGTTAATGTTTTAATTTGCTTTCAAATAACTTTTTGAGGTTTTATTCAGCAGTCAAATGACTTCTACATTACTTAGCAATGCATCAGTCACATAGCAATGGTTAATATACACTTTAAGGAATCTCTGCAATAACATGTGTGCTTGTATCCCCTGAGCATGCAAGTTCATCCACTGTGCGGACATAGTGGTCAGTGTTGATGTGCCCCCTTTGCATTGAAGGTCAGTGTAGACATGTCCCTTGGCATGGGTGGTCAGTGTAGACCGTGTCCTCTTGCATTGGAGGTCAGTGTAGAGGTGCCCCCTTGCATTGGAGGTCAGTGCAGATGTGCCCCCTTGCATTGGAGGTCAGTGTAGACGTGCCCCCTTTGCATTGGAGGTCAGTGTAGACTTGTCTCTTGACATGGGTGGTCAGTGTAGACATGCCTCCTTGTATTGGAGGTCAGTGCAGATGTGCCCCCTTGCATTGGTGATCAGTATAGACATGCCCCGTTTGCATTGGAGGTCAGTGTAGACGTGCCCCCTTTGTATTGGGGGTCAGTGTAGACATGCCCCCTTTGTATTGGGGGTCAGTGTAGACATGCCCCCTTTGCATTGGAGGTCAGTATAGACATGTCCCCTTGCATTGGAGGTCAGTGTAGGTGGGAGATGAATTCACCATTGCTCACTGCTCAAGGAACCCCTAGCAACCTCAGGAGGAACCTGGCTGAGAAAGCATATTTTTAGGGTTAACCAATAAGGGACATTATTTGCTACGTGCAGTACGTTAAAAGTACCATACAACGTAACATCACTGTTCCCTCATCTGTCCGAAAATGGCCAAAGAGATTCTTAGGCCATTGCTTCACTAGCTCCTAGTTAAAACCACAAGTGGATACCAAACCTGATGAATCAGTGATGTCAAAAGTTTAAAGTTAACTGGCTTCATTCTCATGAATATGTAATCAAGATGGTAGACGTCTCCCTCAGGCCTGACCCTCCCGGGAATACAGGACCGGCCTGAAAAATGGCTCCACATTCCTGGAGCTCAGGCAAACCCCGCCCCCCCCCACGC